GCTGAAAGGAAATACCGACTGCTGTGTTCTCTATAGACGGCCAACAGTATTTTGGGAATTTTAACACAGGCACTTTATATGTTAAATATTGCAAAATAAAGATTGCATATATTGTAACTAAAAAAGAACATAAAAATTAAATATAATTACCCATCGATATTATTATTTTTCTGTACATATCTATTTTATATAGGGTGTTAGGTACTCTGAAGTCACCAAGATTTAGGGTTATAGGAAAGACATCATAAAGTGGCAGCTGAAATCTGAATCTAGTAAGAGGAGCACAGAATAAAGGTCGTAAAGACCTGTGATTACCTGTTTAAGTGCTCGGTCACACCAGTGAGATTTGAAATCGCACCTGAAATCACATCTAATGAATGTGAATGTCAATGTATTAACATATGCGATTTGCTGCAGCGCAATTTCCAAAGTAGTTCTTGCATATGGAGCAGCACAGTGGCTAAGTGGTTAGCACATCCGCCTGGCAGTACTAGGGTTGCTGGTTCGTATCCCAACCACGGCACCACCTGTCTGGAGCTTGCATGTTCTCCCTGTGCCTGCGTGGGTTTCCTCTGGGTACTCCAGTTTCCTCCCACACTCCAAAGGCAGGCTGGTAAGTTAATTGGCTCCTGTCTAAATTGTCCCTAGTATGTGTATGTATGAATGTGAGTTAGGGACCTTAGATTGTACGCCCCTTGAGGGTTAGGGACTGATGTGAATGTACAATATATATGTAAAGTGCTGCGTACATTGACGGCACTACATAAGTACCATAAATAAATAATTACTTTTTCTGAAGTTTTGTTGTCATTTCACATTCATAGAATATAACGGAAATCGCACTGCTAATTGCAAGAAATCGATGAAAATCTTCACAAATAGCAATAAAGTTTTCATAAATCGCAGTGAAATTGCACACACAAATTGCACAGTTTTAAATTGCAGTGGTGTGACTGGTGACTTAATCATGTAAGTGTCACTGATATTTGATCACACCTGAAAACAGTCATGACAAATACTCACCTGTGACCTTACAACACGGTTACAATCACATGACCCATACTCTAAACATACATAGATAACACAGATCACCCGTGGATCATACTCACATGTGGCCTCTGTCACTGTAGTGATTGCACTGCTGCAGCTCCCACTGACTGTCTGTACAGTGACGGTATAATTCCTTCCTGGTAGTAAGTCAGTGAAAGTCGCTTGTGTAGAGGAATTCTGCAATGTCCTATTTACATCTCCTGTTATAGTGACGGTATAATTGGACACGATTCCAGTTGGCGCCGTCCAGTTCACCACCAGAGAATTCACCGACTGGTAATTGTTCACTGTGACATTGACAGCTTGTCTGGGAACTGGAAATACAATATTCATGTTATGTGCTTTATAAGACTCATTCTACTCATTTTGTCTAATGAATGATAAGTTCTTTAAATTATTTATAGGAATAGTAGAAGAACAAGAAATAATTCAGGATATAAACATTTAATAAATGATCCTACAAAAACATTTTAACACTTTTTGAAAACCTCTACATTTTAACTTTACACCACATTCATAGTAACTAAGAAAAGAGGAAGAGGATGGGTGTCTGTGAAAGCACTGCGTCCTTACAGTGGTTGTAAACCCCAGACATGAAATATGAACAAAGCACATTCCTCTATAGTGTGTACTTGTCTCAAACCAGAGCACTAAGTGTGGATTCACACATGTGCAGTGCAGATTGAAGCTCAGGTTTCACAGCTAATTGAAACAGTAGTTGTTCAGCGGTTCAGGTCAGGTTTACATCAGGTTCAGGTCAGGATAATATCCTGTTCACAACTGAAGATATGTGCAGTTTAGCTCCCATAGAAGTCTATAGCCTGTAATCCACACCTGAACAGGACCACACTGCTCAGAAATCGTTTTCACAATATCTGGTCTCCCCCGGACCCTGCATTCACTATATCCGGTCTCCCCCCGGACCCTGCATTCATTATATCCGGTCTCCCCGGACCCTGCATTCACTATGTCTGGTCTCCCCGGACCCCGCATTCACTATATCCGGTCTCCCCCGGACCCTGCATTCACTATATCTGGTCTTCCAGGACCCTGCATTCACTATATCCGCTTTCCCCGGACCCTACATTCACTATATCCGCTTTCCCCGGACCATGCATTCACTATATCCGCTCTCCCCAGACCCTGCATTCACTATATCTGGTCTCCCCGGACCCTGCATTCACTATATCCGCTTTCCACGGACCCTGCATTCACTATATCCGCTCTCCCCAGACCCCGCACTCACTATATCCGGTCTCCCCGGACCCTGCATTCACTATATCCGGTCTCCCCGGACCCTGCATTCACTATAACCTCTCTCCCCGGACCCTGCATTCACTATATCCGCTTTCCCCGGACCATGCATTCACTATATCCGCTCTCCCCAGACCCTGCATTCACTATATCCGGCCTCTCGTACCCTGCATTCACTATATCCGCTCTCCCCAGACCCTGCACTCACTATATCCGGTCTCCCCGGACCCTGCATTCACTATATCCGATCTCCCCGGACCCTGCATTCACTATATCCGGTCTCCCCAGACCCTGCATTCACTATAACCTCTCTCCCCGGACCCTGCATTCACTATATCCGCTCTCCCCGGACCCTGCATTCAATATATCCGCTCTCCCAGGATTCTGCATTCACTATATCTGCTCTCCCCGGACCCCGCATTCACTATATCTGATCTCCCCGGACCCTGCATTCACTTTATCTGGTCTCCCGGACCCTGCATTCACTATATCTGGTCTCCCCGGACCCTGCATTCACTACATCTGGTCTCCCCGGACCCTGCATTCACTATATCTGGTCTCCCTGGACCCTGCATTCACTATATCCAGTCTTCTCGGACCCTGCATTCACTATATCCGCTCTCCCCGGACCCTGCATTCACTATATCTGCTCTCCCCGGACCCTGCATTCACTATATCCGGTCTCCCTGGACCCTGCATTCACTATATCTGCTCTCCCTGGACCCTGCATTCACTATACCCGGTCTCCCCGGACCCTGCATTCACTATATCCGGTCTCCCTGGACCCTGCATTCACTATATTTGGTCTCCCCGGACTCTGCATTCACTATATCTGCTCTCCCTGGACCCTGCATTCACTATATCTGCTCTCCCAGGACCCTGCATTCACTATATCTGGTCTCCCCGGACCCTGCATTCACTATATCCGCTCTCCCCGGACCCTGCATTCACTATATCTGGTCTCCCCGGACCCTGCATTCACTATATCTGGTCTCCCCGGACCCTGCATTCACTATATCCGCTCTCCCCGGACCCTGCATTCACTATATCTGGTCTCCCCGGACCCTGCATTCACTATATCCGCTCTCCCCGGACCCTGCATTTACTATATCCGGTCTCCCACAGTACACCTTTTCTCATCAGCAGTATATAGCAGTCTTGTGACTTCTATCAGTGTCCAGCAGAGCACATGCTAAAGCTTGTAGGAAGAGTTTTCATTCTGCTCTGATTGCCCTATGAGACTGCATGACCCCTGACTCTCTGTCTGGAGAGCCCTGATTGGCCCTGTGCTAATCACATGCACTCTCCCAAGAAAAAAAAAACCTCTTTAGCAATACACACCAAAATGAGCATATGCAGAGTGACTCCACATATATGTCTTATCAGGAGATATGAGGAGGACACAAGAAGGGGAGAATCAGAGAAGACAGGATCAAACAGCCTTTTTATACAATGCAGAGGATTAATCCCTTAGGTTCCACAGTGAGTATAACAAGCATGCTTTACTGCATATACAGACGGATTTTACTGTTGTGGGTTTAGTAACAGTACTAGGGTCATTGGTTTGAATCCCAACCACGGCACCACCTGCCTGGAGTTTGAATATTCTCCCTGTGCCTGCGTGGGTTTCCTCCGGGTACTCCAGTTTCCTCCCACACTCCAAAGACATGCTGGTAGGTGAATTGGCTCCTGTCTAAATTGTCCCTAGTATGTGTATGTATGAATGTGAGTTAGGGACCTTAGATTGTACACCCCTTGAGGGTTAGGGACTGATGTGAATGTACAATATATATGTAAAGCACGGCGTAAATTGACGGCGCTATATAAGTACCTGAAATAAATATATAAAAATAGTAACACTTTCATTGAACGGTCTTGTCCTTCCCCCAGCCTATGAATGAACAGTGAGAGGAGAAGCAGCATCGCTCTGTCTCTCTTGCTAAGTATGTTGCTGAGAGACTCCCAGCTGTTACTGTTCCCCTCCACCATAACAGAAGTGAGCTGTTTCTCTGATTCAACCCCCTTCACATTCATTGTCCCCTAATGGAGTAGTTCTGAGCTCAGCGTTTGAGAGCTCGCTCCTCTGATGGTGGAGGTGAAGAGTAACAGCTAGGCATCTTTCTAGCAATGCCACCAGCAACGTCCTAGGAGATTTCCAGTCAGGCTTCATGAGTTACGTAAATGGCCTATACCTATAGCAAGGGCATTGTAGCAAGGGCATTATTCATCTTAGTCAAAGCTGCACAGCTTGATTATCTGCAGGCGCCCCCTATCTGTATAGACAGGTTTTGGTAAAGATGAACTAACCCTTTAAGTGCGTTGTACATATACAAACAACAGCAATGCCCATGTCATTTTTTCTCACAACTTTAATGGCCTTCTGTAATACAGATGATAATATCCTTCACCTATCCTGTAATACAGATGATAATATCCTTCACCTATCCTGTAATACAGATGATAATATCCTTCACCTATCCTGTAATACAGGTTTTCAGAAATAAGGTTGGAGTAAGGCTCCATGTACACTGCAGCTGATAAACTCACGTTTAGGAGCTGTTCAGCGTTTTTTCAGTAGCCCCTGAACTCACCCTAATGTTTTCCTATGTGTTCATGTACCCATCTTCATTTACAGTCGTTTACAGTTTACAGTAGTTTTTTTTAACGCAGAAAACTTGCATTCAGCAGCTGATTTTATCGCGTTTATAAGCGTTTGTGTCTGAAAATTTTTTTTTAACTCTTCCAGCTCCAGAGCCTTTTTTCATCATGAAAAATGCATGCAAAGCGTTTTCAAGGTACATTGAAAACAGGATGTTCCTACCAAGCTTGTCACACATTGTAATGACCAATTCACACCTCAGACCTCTCCCACCTTTGGAAACAAAAGATATGTTAATGACCAATTCACACCTCAGACCTCTCTCACCCTTGGAAACAAAAGATATGTTAATGCCTATTCACACCTCAAATTCCTCATGAAGACCCCCTGCCAGGTGGCCTTAATGACTCCCTCCACCAGACACCTTTCCCACCCTTGGGAACAAAAGATATGTTAATGAGCAACTCACACCTCAGACCTCTCTCACCCTTGGAAACAAAAGATATGTTAATGACCATTCACACCTCAAAATCCTCATGAAGACCCCCTGCCAGGTGGCCTTAATGACTCCCTCCACCAGACACCTTTCCCACACTTGGAAACAAACGAAATGTTAATGCGCAACTCACATCTAAGCTAATCTCAACACATACTGCTGTCTCTGCTTCTACTCTCTGTATTCTCTGAAACAGTCTGAAATAGTTAATAATTACCACTTTTCAGTGCATGCTGGGCATTTGGGAGGTTCTCCTGTGCTTATCTTTAAAAAACGATTCTATGCGCAACTGCGCATAAACAGACGTTTTTTAAGCTACGTTTTCCAGCAGTCAGTTTCCATCATTCAGAAGTGTCCCGTGTACATGGAGCCTAAGACATAAGCTTCATAAAAATTTTACATTTTAAAACATGTCTTATCTGTTTGAACATGATATAAACAGAAAGTGGTCCATTGAGTCTGCCCATTATTTTTTTTTTGCTTTTTCTGCGTGTATGTTGTTTTTTTTTTGTTTTGTTTTTTTTGAGGGGGGGGTTGTTAGGTTGTTTTGGCTTTTTTTTGTTAACTTTTTTGTGTGAGTACAGATCTATGCTTGTCCCACATGTTTGGAGCTATTTACTGTTGACTGACTCACTACCTCTGCTGGAAGTTTATTCCATGCATCAAACTACTCTTTCAGTAAAATAATACTTTCTGAGATTAGTGTTGAACTTTCCTCCAGTTAGTTGGAGGTCATAGCCTCGAGTTCTTGATTTTGGTTTCGTGTTGAAAATCCTGCCCCTCCTGAACCTGTCTCCTCTTTCCCTTCTTTCCTCCAGACTATACATGTTAAGTTCCTGAAGTCGCTCTTGATATGATATATATTATATATACAAAATATTACCCTTTAAAGAACTTTATGCTGTTTTCATTGCATTATTAACCACTAGCCTAAAGGGCACTTATACCACCTTCCTGCCCAGGCCAATTTTCAGCTTTCAGCGCTGTCGCACTTTGAATGACAATTGCGCGGTCATGCAACACTGTACCCATATGAAATTTTTATCATTTTTTTGAGACAGATAGAGCTTTCTTTTGGTGATATTTAATCACCTCTGGGTTTTTTATTTTTTCTTAAATAAACCAAAAACCACTGAAAATTTTGGAAAAAAAAAGTTTTTTCTTAGTTTTTGTTATAAAATTTTGTAAATAAGTGATTTTTCTCCTTCACTGATGTGCGCTAATGAGGCTGCAGTGATGGGCACTGATAGGTGGCACTGATGGGCACTGATGAGGAGGCACTGATAGGTGGCACTGATGGGCATTGACAGGCATCACTGATGGGCACTGAAAGGCAGCACTGATACACAGCACTGATATATGGCACTGTTAGGCGGCACTGACTGGCACTGATAGGCGGCACTGACTGGCACTGTTAGGCGGCACTGACTGGCACTGTTAGGTGGCACGGACTGGCACTGTTAGGCGGCACTGACTGGCACTGATAGGTGGCACTGATGCACACTGATAGGCGGCACTGACAGGCACTGATAGGCGGCACTGACAGGCACTGATAGGTGACACTGATTGGCAGCACTGATAGGTGGCACTGATTGGCATTGATAGGTGGCACTGACTGGCACTGATGGATGACACTGAAAGGCAGCTCAGATGGGCACTGATATGTGTGGCATTGATGTGCACTGGTATGCTCTGATATGTGGCACTGATCGGCACTGACAGAAGGCACTGATTGACTTTGACAGGTGGCACTGCTGGGGCTACACTGATCATCAGGGCACACTGATCATCAGTGCCCTGATGATCAGTGTACATGTCCCCTCCGCGGAAAGCCGATTACCGGCTCTCCTCTCCTCTCGAGCTGTCAGCGTGACAGCTCGAGAGGAGAAAAATGCAGATAACCGGTATTTCCGTGTTTACATGTGATCAGCTGTGATTGGACACAGCTGATCACATGACCGAGCCGACATCTTTGGCTCTTTCCGTGATCCTCTGTGTCCGTGAGAATGGGAGGACGTCATATGACATCCTCTCAGAACGAGAGAACCACCTTGCACCCGTCATTGGACTATATGGCGGGTGGGAGGTGGTTAAACAGCCATTCTTTACTCACCTGTGCAGGTAGTTTGGTTGACGTAGTCAGATTCGGTGGCATTATCAGCAGCTCTTACATATACAAAGAATGTGTATGTTTCTCCTGCTGTCAGACTGTTTATTGTAGCGGATTCATTAGACACCATTGTATTACTTATCAGTAAAGATGATGATGTGATAATTGTCTGCACTCTGTAGCGGTACACGCTCTGATACTCAAGTGGTCTGGTCCAATTTAATATCACGGTATCCGATGTCACAGTATCAAATTTCAGATCTGACACAGGCCATGGCTCTATAAAGTAAAGATAATAATAATAGCTTTAATTTTAATAAGATATAGACATAGCAATGATAGCATTTCTTGTTTTTGCTACCTACTTGTATACACAAATCCCGTCACAGGCGTACTCTGATACCCGCGAACTCCAACTGTCATCACAGAGATGGTGTAATTTGTTCCGGAAGTCAGGCTCTGAAGGGTGGTATTGGTCGTGTAGCTTGTTTGGGCCCAAATGTTGGGAGAAGAAGAAGCATTCAATAGGTTATATTGTAAGACATTACCAGATTGGTCATATTTACTGGCTGTACCCAAGACAATGTGATGTTTGCTGCAGTTGAATTGAAAGTGATATTGCTTGGTGGAGTAGGATCTGGGACACAGAATAAGAGAACGAGAAAAAAAATTAACATAGGAAGTGCATAAAAAATACATTTGTTAAACTCACTCTGTATTTCTTTCACACATCACACATAAATAATAAAATATTTTAAAGGAGTATCTTCCTTCCCAATGCAGCTGGCTACAGCCAACTCTATTGCACATGGAGCACAGGTCATAACCATTATCATGCATCATATTTATAGACTTGGGTTCTTGTGCTCACTAACAGGACTTCTGTCATCTTTCATGTGTGTGCACTATAGCCAGAATACACAGTAAAGCTTTCTATGACTGTAGCCACGAAAAAAAAAAGCTTGTACTACTGCAGTAGTGGCACCACCAAGGTGTATCTATAAAGAAGCAAAAGGCCATCATGTCATGCAATAGAGTTCTATGATAACTGAATAATCCAACATTCTGACAGTTACTCTACACTGAATATCCAGGGAAGATAATGTTTTTCTGTAGGATGTCAAATAGAGCAATAGATATACACAGATGTTACATACTGTACATCATACACTCTGGTGTATGCGTTTCCCCATATGGAAGCTTCTCTCACGCCTCCTACAGAGGAATAAGTCAAAAAGCATTCCCACCATTATGGTAGCTCTGAGGTAGTCAAAGAGAGCCGGGTACTGAGTAAAAAATTACCCTAGTCAAAGATGCTCAGTGGCTCCTCCTTGTTTGGGCAGACCTTCTATCTCAGATCCTGCTTCTTGCCTTATAGGCATAGATATTGAGGGCCACGTTATAAGAGAACGTCTGTCAGAAGCTGTTAGCTCTACCATATTCTGGACGTGTAAGCCTTCTTCTTTCGCCTGTGAGACCTTCTTAGATGGTGTGAGGCAGATGAACATAATCTGAGGGCGTATACAGTTTCTAGGATTCTTAGTTTCCTTCACTCTGGTATGTGGCAACACCTGGTTTTGAGCGCCATCAAGAACCAGAACGTGGCTATTGCTATTTTTTTATGACCATTGAATTGACAGCAGCACTTCAGAAGGCCAGCTGCATAATGGAAACCATGGCTCTTTGTGAAGACATTTCAAATATATAATAATTCCTGAAACTTTTGTCATTAGAAGCTGGAAATAGGGACATGGGTCTCCAAGAAGTTGTCATAGAGACATCCAAATAGAGCAAATAGCTATAGATTGTCCAAGGACAGATGTGAAGAAAACAAATGTAGAATGCACGGTGATAAACACACTCAGACTACCTTTGGTGTTATACCACCGTAGTTACAAACCATACTGCTTGATATGTGCCGCAAGTGAAAATGAACCCCCTTTGCGTTTCCCTTTTTTAGTTATAGGTTGTCTAAGAACGGACATGGAAAAAGAAACAGGTAATGACAACAGTAAGCTATATTGATGGTAAGAATGGTTTACAACACCAGCAATGTGTGTCATGGTGGGTATGCAGACACTATTTCAGGCAGGGTGTATAAAAACGCAAGCATTAGCAGGGTAGTTTCTCTTAGCATTGCTTGAGACTGCAATGAGCTGAACAGCTCATGTTAGAGTTATGGTACACCCTGCCTGAAGATGTGGCCATATGTTTACCACAAAACATGTTGCCACTGTTGTAAACTATTTATACTTTCAATGAAGCCTGTTGAGGATACCTGATTTGACGTTGCATCCAATCTATAACCACTCGTTCCATTTGGGTGTCTCTGCAATATATTCCTGGAGACCTATGCACCTATTTCAAAGTTCTCAATAGCACCAGGTCACTTTCAGGGCATCAAGGTTCCTAACTTCCCCTAGCATCGAGTGCAAGCAATTTGGGCTTCTATAAAGCATATCTTTGGAGACCCAAACCCTACTTTCAGCTTCTCACGATTACCAGACCTCTTTGGGGACATGAAGTTCCAGGATCTCTTCTAACATTGAATGCAACCCCACAAAACAAAGATCTGAGTGGAGACAGGTATATTCTCCAAAAGCTCCAGTTTAGGTTGATATCCTGAGGTTTCTAGCAATCTATGCAAATATAAGCAAATCTAAGGCTTCTGTCTTTCATTGTTCCCCTCACCAAACCCAATGGAATCTGCTAAATACTACACCCTAAGAGTTCTTCTACTCTAGTCTTGCTTTTACTCTGAGAATCCACAGAACAAGTTTAAATAGAAATTATTTTTAGTGAAAACTATCAAGGATTAAGGTTGATTTTATAAAGGGGAAACTAAAATGTATTGGGATCAATGGTATATCTATTTTTTAAGCTTATACATTTTAAACTGTCATTTTATATATTTGTTTACTGTAAATAATGTTTTATCACAAAAAAGCAGTTAAGGTTAGCTATCCGCCAACTGCTGGTTAAAATAATTATGTAATATTTATATAAATATTATATTTCAATAAATATAGTTATGTTGCTAAAAGGTATAAAGGTGGGGAGAGGGGGTGGCTGCAATGGTGACTAGACTGCAGTAATAGCCTGCAGTGATGGCAAAATATTCACAGAAGACCAACCCTTCAGTCAGATTTCCTTCAAAAGAAAGTATGTTCCTTAACGCACAATATCTTTTTCATTGTCTAGTTTCTATCAGACACTGTTTGGCTGAAAGGAAATACCGACTGCTGTGTTCTCTATAGACAGCGCACAGTTATTTTGGGAATTTTACAGGCACTTTACATGTTAAATATTGCAAAACAAAGATTGCATATATTGTAAATAAAAAAGAACATAAAAATTAAATAGAATTTACCCATCGATATTATTGATTTTCTGTACATATCTATCTTATATTATTATTATTATACAGTATTTATAAAGCGCCAATAGTTTGCTCAGCGCTGTACATTACAAAGGGAGACAGAACATGTGACAGAACAATACCAATACAATGCAAAACATGAGGGGATCAAGGGCCCTGCTCTTTCGAGCTTACAATCTAGGAGGGAGGGGGTGGTGGCACAGGAGGAGATAGCTGTGGGGGATGGAGTGGTAGGAAGAGTGGAGGAGGGAGGCAAGTTAGCAGGGGGTGGGGTAGGCTTCCCTGAAGAGATGGGTTTTCAGGGTGCGCCTAAAGGAGAGGAGAGTAGGTGATAATCTGATTGGTTGGGGCAGGGAGTTCCAGAGGATGGGTGACACCCTGGAGAAGTCCTGGAGGCGGGCATGGGAGGAGGAGACCAGGGAACTAGAGAGAAGGAGGTCTTGTGAGGAGCGGAGTAGTGTGCGTGCTGGGCGGTACTTGGATATTAGGTCAGTGATGTAGTTCGGGGCAGTATGGTGGACAGTTTTGTACGTCAGCGTTAGGATTTTGAATTTGATCCGTTGCGCAATCGAAAGCCAGTGGAGGGATTGGCAGAGGGGGGGGTGGCGGAGACAGAGCGGTTGGAAAGGTGAATGAGTCTGGCAGCCGTGTTCAGGATGGACTGAAGAGGGGATAGCCAGCGGCGAGGCAGGCCAGTGAGGAGGGAGTTGCAGTAGTCGAGTCGTGATATGATGAGGGAGTGGATGAGCTGTTTAGTGGTTTCTGGGGTTAGTAACGTGCGGATTTTGGCGATGTTGCGGAGGTGGAGTCTGCACGAGTTTGTTAAAGATTGGACTTGGGGCTGGAAGGATAGGTTGGAGTCCAGAATGACACCCAGTACTCTGGCCTGCAGGGCGGGTTTGATGGTAGCGTTGTTGGATGTGACGGAGAAATCAATGGGGGGGTGGTGTCCGGGCTGGGGGGAAGACAAGAAACTCGGTTTTGGAGAGGTTCAATTTAAGGAAGTGGAGCGACATCCAGTCTGATATGTCGCTCAGTAGGTGTGTGATTCGGGCTGAGACCAAGGGGGTGAGGTGGGGGGTTGAGAGATAGATTTGTGTGTCGTCGGCATAGAGGTGGTAGTTGAAGCCGTGAGAGTGTATGAGTTGGCCAAGGGAGGAGGTATAGATGGAGAAGAGAAGGGGCCCGAGGACAGAGCCTTGAGGGACCCCAACAGAGAGGGGGAGTGAGGGGGAGGTGGTAGCATTATAGGTAACGCTGAAAGAGCGTTGTGACAGGTAGGATGAGATCCAGGAGAGAGCAGAATCTCTGAGGCCGAGGGAGTGTAGTTTTTTGAGGAGGAGGGGGTGGTCGACTGTGTCGAAGGCCGCAGAGAGGTCAAGGAGTAGGAGCACTGAATAGTGTCCATTAGCTTTGGCGGTTAGCAGGTCGTTGGAGAGTTTGAGTAAGGCAGTTTCGGTGGAGTGTAGGGGACGGAAGCCGGACTGTAGGGGATCGAGGAGGTTGTTGTCGTTGAGGTGAGAGC